ACTCCTTTGGTTGGATTGTTGAAATCTTGACTGTGTCTGTGTTCCAATCACATTATTTTTACAGTAGGATTACAAATTTAGATATTTTATTCAGAAGTATTAATTAATGATTTAGATTTATATTATATATGGACGGACTGAACACCAATTTAATTTTTATTCAGAAATACTAATTAATGATTTGATGTATTTATTTACTAAAATTTAATTTTTTCTGGGCATTTTAGATTACTAATCTGTTTAGGAGTAATCAACTCAAGTAAAATGCAGCATCAGAGATCAGTACCAAAATTTGGGGTGGTACTAAAATAAAATGGTCAATTGGCCTTCCATTTGTGTGCGAACATTAGGCCGTGTTTGATTGGGAGATATATGGAAAGATTTGAAAAGAAAAAAGTGTATGAAATTGTGTAAAATATAAGTATATTTTATTAATATTTCACCTACATTTTTCCTTTTTCTTTCCATCCAAATCCCTTCCCAAATATTTCAACCAAACACCACCTTAGTTTTTCAAATGTTGCGTCTTCTTGACTGTAGTTCCCAAATTAGTTCTGATTGTTAATTTTTTTAAAAATAGGAAACACTGGAATATTATCCAAGAATAGTTTCTCTTATCCTTGCTTATATCCTTTTGTCATCATTTTTCCTGTCTCTTGTGACGTGCTTTTTCCGCCGAAAGCCTGTGCCATAGCTCATCTTGTTTAGGGTGATGGAGGCTCTGTTCCGGCGGGGAGTGCTGTTGTAATAAATGCTGTGATGGGTTGCATTAATGGTGATGTGTTGTGATAATAACTCTGCAGATCTTTGTCTGCTGATGTGGCCCGTGTCCCACCTGCCGTGTGCCTAAATGCCGTTGGCCCTTCATGTCTAGGTGGCCTCCAGCTGTTCTGGGCCTTGTCATCCAAGCAACCGGGTTGTGCCATTGGCCCCAAGCACTGGGTTCGGGGTGGTTTACCGTGGGCCGTGTGCCTTGTGGGCCTATCCATGTCAAATAATAATAATAATTAATTAATTAAAACTACCTTTAAATTTTGAATTTGTAGAAAGGAAAAAAAAAATTGTAGAGGCGGTTTTTTATTCTATTTCCTTGTTTTTCTTGTTGGTTGAATTGTTATTTTTTTTTTGGTATATCTTTGGGCTAGTTTGGAAAGATGATTATAATCAGCTTTTTGGTTAAAAGATGATTATAATTAACTTTTTATGAGAGAGAAAAGTGAGTTATAATCTGATAAGTGGATTATAACCGACTTCCCAAAAGACTCCTTTGGTTGGATTGTTGAAATCTTGACTGTGTCTGTGTTCCAATCACATTATTTTTACAGTAGGATTACAAATTTAGACATTTTATTCAGAAGTATTAATTAATGATTTAGATTTATATTATATATGGACGGACTGAACACCAATTTAATTTTTATTGAGAAATACTAATTAATGATTTGATGTATTTATTTACTAATATTTAATTTTTTCTGGGCATTTTAGATTACTAATCTGTTTAGGAGTAATCAACTCAAGTAAAATGCAGCATCAGAGATCTGTACCAAAATTTGGGGTGGCACAAAAATAAAATGGTCAATTGGCCTTCCATTTGTGTGCGAACATTAGGCCGTATTTGGTTGGGAGATATATGGAAAGATTTGAAAAGAAAAAAGTGTATGAAATTATGTAAAATATAAGTATATTTTATTAATATTTCACCTACATTGTTCTTTTTTCTTTCCATCCAAATCTCTTCTCAAATATTTCAACCAAACACCACCTTAGTTTTTCAAATGTTGCATCTGCTTGACTGTAGTTCCCAAATTAGTTCTGATTGTTAATTTTTTAAAAAATAGGAAACACTGTAATATTATCCAAGAATAGAAAATTTTCATGAAATATTTTATAATATTTTTTTAAGATCCCTAGCATTTCTCAATTACTAATAAAATACATTGGTGTGGCCTCTATCACCCATGTGTCTTATTGATAACTCACTCAATAAAATGGTGGGCCTTTTGGTAACAATTTCGTTTTCAGTTTTCAATTTATATTTATAAAAATTTTAAAAATTGTCATAAAAACTTGTTTGATAATTTTTTTGGTTTATAAATGGTTGTCTCAATTTGTAAATTTAAGAAAAAAACGTAAACTTGGTTTTTAAACATAAATTTAAAATTTTGACTAATAATTTTTTTTTCAATTAATTTTTTAATTATAATTTATATGATCCCATTGTCATAAATAATAAAAAATAAATATAAATATTTTAGACCTAAACAAACATATTTTTTAATTTATATTTTTCAAAATTTTCAAATATTTTGTTCAAACTAAACGCGTTTATAGTTTATGTTTTTCTAAAAATAAACAAAAACTAATTTATAAAATTTTTGTAAACATAAATAAAAAACATAAACGTTACCGAACGCTGTAGTGTTTGGAGCAAAGATGTTTTAGTTTTGATTCTTAATTTCACAAGAATAAGTAGTAGTGTCTTGGAGATTTTTTAAAATGATATCCTATGTTACATGTCCTTTGAAAAATTAGGGCTTCTAGTAATAAATTATATTTATTATTATTATTATTATTATTATTGTAGATCTTAAACAATGAGTTAGATGGCTTAATGATTAAATTACATCTCATTTAAAAGTAAAATATTTATAGAGTATCTTTATCAGCTTTCAAGAAATATGTACAAAAAATGTCCTCAAGTTGATAATGGCATACGTCTCCTAATCAAACACAAGCCTTAATAATTGTTAAGAATTAGTCATAAGATTCCCGCATTTGGGTTGTTTTGGGAAGATGGTAAAAAGTGACTTTTTGACTTTTAACCAAGCTTTTGGCTTTTTTAGACAAATGATTTGGGAAGTTGGTAAAAAGTGACTTTTGACTTTTTTGATTAATATTTGTTTATGATGTCAAATCATAATAAAATGACTAAACTACCCCCATTTATTTAAAATATTTACAACTGAACCTATGTAACACATTGTGACCCATGAGGGATAAAATTGTAATTTCACCGTTGGCTAAAAACCAACTTGCCAAATGAAAAAAAAGCCAAAAAAGCCAACTTTTGGCTTTTGTTACTAACCAAAAAAAGTGACTTTTAGCCAAGTTCCCAAAATCACCCTTTGAATCGGCTATACAAACAACAGATTTAACTCTTTTGGGTAATAATTTACAACAAATACAAAAATCATGTGACAAATCTAAGTTTCTATCATTTTATACCAAATGAATCATACATGATAAGCCTCATTTGGCAAAAGTATACTTTTTGACTATGTCACATCATTCTAATTAAGAGGGTATTTAGAATGATTTAAATAAGTATATTTTTTGACTTTTGATAAAAAGATGTGTAAAAAAATAGAGAGATAATATGATCTAAAAAAGATAAAAAGATAAAAAGTATACTTTTTGTAAGGGATGCCAAATAGTGCCTAATTATTGTATACAAAACAACAAATTCTATTAGAATCGTCATAAGAAAAAATATTAAATGCAATGGTAATAGTATCCTACATGATATTATGTATCAATAAAATATTACAAATGAAATTATGTGGATGAATTTTGCCTACCACCAAACCACCCCAACCATGTATTTTCCATCCTAAAGTGAGATTGTTCATTAAATAATAGGAAAATGTCCGGTAGCTCGATTTATTCAAGCTCAAGTGGCTTGAAAAGTGTTTTCTCTCCTCTCCTCTCTATCTCTATCTCTATTCTCCTCTCATCTCTATCTCTGTTTCCTCTCATCTCCATTCAAACACTCCAACCTCCTCTCTCTCTCTCTCTCTAGCCAGCACTGGTATCTCTCTCTCTCTTTGTCTCACACTATCCCAATCTCCTTCTTGTTATAACAATTCCCTCATTTTTCCTTTGTTAGGGTGTTTCTAGGATTTCATTTGTGTTGACTTGCTATCATAGCCCACTTGTTTCTATACATTCTATGTACAGCCAACAATCTTTTCTCTTCTTCCTCACTGAAAGCCCTCTTGTTTATCCTTGGATCTAACTGGTTAAACCACCTCAATTTGCAACTCTTCCCTACAACCACAAAAAAATAAAAATAAATAAAATAAAAGAAAAGATCAATGGGTCTTTTTCTTAGGACCCAAACAAGGAAAAGAAAATGAATTTGCAGACATAAATAATAGGAAGAGATAGATTAATTACCCAATCTTTCTTGAAGTTTCTTAGCAATCAAGTTCCAATTTTGAGGACCATATTAGGTAACAAGTTCTTTGAGCTTGGAATCTTCATGAGGTCTCCAATGTCCTCTGGCATAAAGCTTTGTGCACCCAAATTTCTTCTCAATACTATCTTCATCATCACCTTAGTCTAAATCAAGCCCATTTCTATCAATCCCACCAGAACCCATATTAGTCCCATCATCTATTCCCCTTCCTTCCTTCATTGGAGCAAAACTCCAAGGTTTGTTCTTAAATGGAGGATTCAGAATCTGATGATATCCATTTCTCTATCCAAGATGGTTTATAGAGAGAGAAAGTTGATCGGGGGAGGTGGAATCAGGGAGTTGATATCCCATAACCCAATGAGATTATGACCGCCATTACTGTTCATGTATTGGAGATTCATTTGTAACAGAAAACCCAAATGGAAACAAGAGAGAAACTTAGGGTATCCCAATTGGTTATTCTCTCACCTCTCTGTTTCAAAAAAAAAAAAAAGAAGCGCCAAAACGACGTCGTTTTGGCACCTCGAGCCATTCGAGCTAGCTAACAGAGTTGTAATAGGGTATCATCAGATTCTGAGGAGAAGAGAGAGAACACTTTTCAAGCCACTCGAGCTTGAATAAATCAAGCTACAGGATATTTTCCATAATCATATCATGACATGATATCAACGTCATATCTTATATTTACTTGATGGACGGCATATCAATGTGACAAAATTCTCGCAGTGGGCCATGTATGGCCAGATCACCAAAATCAATGAGGCCCCTCACGTTAGGCCCATTTCCTCCCACAAAATTCTTTCCCCAAATGGGCCAGCCCAAAATAAACCTGAAATCAGCCCATCCCCACCTGCGGCGCATCATTTGCCTCCAATTAAACTCTGCGAGCTCGTCCCCTGGTTCAGCCGTTGCGGAAGTTGCAGAGCCATTTGCCAAAGTTTTTCAACACAAATGGCGGGTAAATCACAACACACAACGCAAATATACATGTTGAGAATTGTTAATGGATTTGAATCAACATGTGTTGCGATTCAAGGTCGCAAAATGGTTGATAAGAGTCGGAACTCAGTTTTGTGGGCAATGTTTTTGCAGGGGGACAGCCGGAGAGAGAAGACAAGGTTTCGTTGGATCTCACCGAAGAAATACTTCAGAGCATGGAAGTCGGCATGGCCTTTCGCGATTATGTGAATTCCTCTCTCTCTCTCTCTCTCTCTTCATGATTCTTTTTCACTGTGTTTCTTCGCATACAAATGTATAAGAGAATTTCGTTAGGTATGACAAGTCTGATCGGTATTTTCCCCCATTTTTGTTCAATTTTTATGTACACCAATAAAATTCTTATCCATAAATTGATAAATTAGATACCAGAAGCAAATGGTGGTGTGTGATTTGCTCAATTTTCGATCACTTAATTTCTTAGCTGAAACCCTAAGTCTTCATAAAACCATAAGTAGCTGAATTCATAAAAATCACTCCTCATAAGATGTCTGCTTCCCTCTTGGGTAATGAGTTTCATGCTTAGGGCTCGTTTGGTAATTGGTTATTTTAGTTGCCTTTTTGTTTTTTACGAAAAGATGTGTAGGAAATAGAGAGAGTGTTGTGGCAATTTATAGTGGATAATGGTATTGACGAACAATTTAGATAATAGAAAAGAAGAAGAAGAACAAGGGGAATCAAGTTCATTAATGAGGGAGTGATCTGAACGTTAGGTTATTGTAATAAGTACAAGATGATACCTGTGTTATGTTTTCTTTTTGAAATAGGGAAAGCTTTTGGTGAAGCAATTATCCCAACTAATCTATTGTTGAAGCTTAAGAAGCACGGGCACGGACACAGACACGTGACACGACACGGATACGACACCGACACGCCAATTTTTAAAAAATGCAGGACACGACACATGAGGGACACGCATAAAATCTATAATTTTATATATTTATTATATGTTACATATATGAATATATCATTCAAAGATAATAAAAAATTACAATATGACACTAATTCCTATAAATTTATATGATTTTTGTTTTATTATTGTATTTTAAGTTGTTTTGTTCAATCTTACAATTAATTTCACCTGTGTGTCTAATCAATAGATACATGTGTTTAAGCAATAGACGCGTGTGTCCTTCAAGTGTCTAAAGAGTGTCCAGACCTTTAAAAAAATTAAAAGATAGGACACATTTTGAAGAGTGTCGGACATGTGTCGGGGAAGTGTCCAAAGAGTGTCGGTGTCCGACACGGACACGACACGGATACGTCACCTTCTTTGAAGGGTCCGTGCTTCTTAGGTTGAAGCCTTCTATATGTGACTATGAATTGCTATAACAACTTTGAATTCAACAAGTTATTGTTCATAATGTGTGGTGAATGGTATCACATCATGGGTCCTTTTAAAGGCTATTCATATGACTTGCTTGTTTCAGGCTATATCATTGTATTTCGCTCAGTTGATATGCTTAATTGCGTACTGTCATAGTTTCCAATCACGAGAGCAAATGGCTCATTCACTTTAAAGTCTCCATGTTTTCCTTGCTTTGTAAATATTGCATTTTTTTTTATTGCACTTCAATTATGTGGTTTATGTTTTTAAAGCTCTTTTGTCTGTTAGCATTACTTTTTTGTCAACTTAAACACACTTCAATTGACATTGTAATTTCCATTCGCAGAATGGTAGAATCAGTTCAATGGATTTTCATAGGACATCAAATTTTCTGGTGACTGCTAGTGATGATGAATCCATTCGACTTTATGATGTTGCCAATGCTACGTATGCCCCTCCTTTCTGTATTTGGTTTGAGTTCTTTCTGTCTCCCATATAGAGTTGAATCTGGGATATAGTATCCAAAGAATTAATTTTTTATTTGTTTTTATTCTTCGAAGTGACTACAGGTTGTTCTCTTGTCTTCTCCTGGGAAATTGGTGTTACTTAGTATTGTGTATTAGCTATTTGGACAATGTTTACACATGTGATTAAATTTTCTTTAATCTGCAGAATTAAATTTAGTGTTTGAACTAGTTGTTTGTTCTGATGAGAGCTTCACTATTTCAAAGTAATATATGTATATATTTATATATTTGTATATTTGAACTAGTAATAGTTGTGAATGCCAGAGAGTTGGCCTCCATCCTCAGTTGCAAGCTAGTTGCACTTCTGCTTACCTATCTTAGCTTACCCTTTGTATTTTCTTTCACGTCTAAGGTGATGTGGGATGAGGTGGTGGAACAATTTTAAAAGACGTTGGTAGGTTGGAAAAGGTAGTATTTGCCTAAGGGGGGTAGGCTCACTCTTATTAAGAGTTCTTTGTTGAGTCTTCCAACCTGTTTGTCTCTGCACACTGTTCCAGTTTAATGGCTAAGGTACTTGAGAATTTGCCAAGGGATTTTTTTATAGAGTGGAGTAAGGGAAGAGTTTAAATAATATTATCATCGATAGGAGATATACTTGCAAAAGGGATAGATGTTGGCAGAGCGTGGTGACAGCCAAATATGGTTTCTCTGAGGGAGATTGTTGCACATCTGGGGTGTCGATGTCTCATGGGAGGGGCCGATGGAAAGTTATTTGACAGTTTGGGAGGACTTTTTGATATTTGTGTGCTTCAGGGTGGTAAGCGGGACATGTCGAAATTTTGGCAGCATTGGTTGCTTTGGAGAGAGCTTTCCCTTCTGTCATCGTACTTGTTGCAGACAAAGAAGCTTCGGTGGCAGATCATGTACAAGGAGTGGGAGGTTCGATGTAATTCTATACAGGGCTATTTTGAGGGATATGGTGATAAATTTTCTTGGGAATATATTTTCCTGGAAGGCTAAAATGCATCCCCATGTTTCCTCAATAATCTGGACAATTCCCTGCAATGGAAATAAGAAATGATCTGAGGGCAGCCACTTTGCACAAATAATGCCAAAGGTTTTTTCTGTACCCAATCTACCCTTCCTAGATCACCATCTAATGGAAACTAAACTGGGTATACTTAATAGTTGGGAGGATGAAGCTTCTAGTTCTGCCTGTTTCAGTTGCATCATTCATCCCACGTTTATTTAATCCCTGTTTTATTTGACAATTGAGTGATTCTCGCATAATTCTATAATGGTTATTTCTTTCATATTGGCAGAAGTGCTAAGGAACTTCGTTAATTGATGCCAGGTGTTTGAAGACAATTAATAGCAAAAAATATGGGGTTGATCTAGTTTGCTTTACTTCACATCCCACAACAGTTATATACTCTTCAAAGAATGGCTGGGATGGTATGTCAATCAAAATAATGTTTGCAGTTTAAGGTTCATTAGAATTATGAATTCACTCATTTAATTGCTCAGAATCATTGCGGCTCCTCTCATTGCATGACAACAAGTACTTGCGGTATTTCAAAGGACACCATGACAGGTAAAGTTTCTGACGCCGTTGGCATTTGTTTTATCTTCTACTTGATGCACGAAATTATCAATGTTATAAGAGTGACATGATATGTTGTTGATTTTATTAGGGTTGTCTCCCTAAGCCTGTGCTCTCGAAAAGAATGCTTTATCTCTGGCTCTCTGGATCGAACAGTTTTACTTTGGGATCAAAGAGCTGAGAAGTGTCAGGTGAAGACTTAGCAACTGATGCTCATTCTTGAAATACATGTTTAATTTATTTTCTGATCCATCCCTGTATTTTAGGGTCTTTTACGTGTACAAGGTAGGCCTGCAACTGCTTATGATGATCAAGGGCTTGTCTTTGCAATTGCTTTTGGAGGATACATAAGAATGTTTGATGCTCGTAAGTATGAAAAGGTGAGTAGCTGTTATACTGGAACACATGCAAAGTTAGTAGCTGCCAAAGATTGTTTTTTTCTATGTATGTCAGATTCAGCAAACTCTAACATTGTAAAATTTGATCCTCAAGGGCCCTTTCGATATATTTTCTGTTGGGGGAGATGTCTCTGATGCAAATGTTGTTAAATTCAGTAATGATGGGAGACTTGTGCTTCTGACTACTGCAGAAGGACATATTCATGTTCTTGATTCATTCCGTGGAACTCTTGTGAGTTGTTATCCACATCCAACTTTGTAAAAATGCTTTTACATGAAATACTAGCATTATACAGGGCAATTCCTTTCTGATGTGTTTTTGTGATGAATGTGAATATAGTTATTTACATTCAATGTCAAGCCAGTTTTAAGCAATTCCACTTTGGAGGCATCTTTCAGCACCGAGGGAACATTTGTTATATCAGGTGATGCAAGTATCATATTGGCTCTATTGGAAGAGATATTAATCATTTTTATTTAATTGTTTTCCCACTTTGAATTATTGGTAAATACCATGTACCAATATGATTGTTGCATTTATGGTGTATTGTCCTTAAATGGCCAGCAAAAGAAAATATCCTTAAGCAAACTTATCAGTCTCTAATAACCTAGGAAGCATGGATATGAATACAAGATATAGATACGACACGGATACAGCGATACGAGAAATCTAAAAAAGTAGGATACGGGTACGGCTAGGGTATGTTTGTAAGAAAATATATATTTTTAAATTATTACTAGTAGTGAGTTACACATAAACTACAGAATGTTGAGAAACTACACTATAATTTTATAATGCAAAATAATAATCTTTAAGAATTAGATATTAATTGTTTGCTTTTTAAATTTTCAATAAGTCTTATAAATATTTCATTTTTTCAATATCAAGTCTAATTTGTTTATATTTTATTAATAGAGCAATCCACAGCTTGCACTTGTTCTTTTCCTTTTGGCACTAGTAAAAAATGTTGTATTCAAATTTACTTATTTATTTATTGATATTTAATTTTATAATTGTTATATTCTCTTGTTAATTCTTACTTTCTATGTGGAGACATACACAAAACAATAAGGATACATCAATTTGACAAATTTTATTATTTTAACTCACTATGTTCTCTTTATCAAAGAATTGAACGAATTATTAGAAAAATATTATCGTATTTGTCCTTGCAATTATATTATATTACAATGTTATGCAAGAAAAGTTACAATTCTAATTTTGTAAAAGAAGTAATATGTGATTTGGAATACCTGATATTTCAAAATTAAGTATTTGATACTTCCAAATTAATGAAAAATTAATTAAGAAGTATCAGATACTTTTAATAAGTTTCTGATACGTATTCACAAGTATTCAAGGAGTATCGAATACGATATAGATAAGTCACCCTGTTTGAAGTATCCGTGCTTTATAACTAATAATTGAGAGGAAGCTGCAAGGGTACCCTCTTTTGGTGCCATAAATGATAATTGTAATTAAATGACTATTTAGTTTGGTTTTTTACTTTTATACTATTATTGCAAATATGATTATTATTGTTTTAATTATCACTATTGTATTTTGTTGTTTGAGGATGAATGGAGTCATTATAAGCATCCAATTGTCATAATACTTTGCAATGCATGCTCTCATTTTAAGTTTTTCATGGTTATGTCCTATCTTTTGTCACTTCAGAGAATCTTTTTTCCCTTCTGAAGTGAGAAGCTAAGACGCATGGACATGGACACGTGACACGACACGCCGACACGTAAATTTTAAAAAAATGCAGGACAAACACGTGAGGGACACGCATGAAATATATAATTTTATATATTTATTATATGTCATATATATGAATATATTTTTCAAAGATAATAAAAAATGCAATATGATACTAATTCCTATAAATTTATATAGTTTTTGTTTTATTATTGTATTTTAAGTTATTTTGTTCAAACTTATAATTAGTTTCACATATGTCTAATTGATAGAAACGTATTTTAAGCGATTGACACGCGTGTCTTCTAAGTGTTCAAAGAGTGTCCGGGTCTTTAAAAAACATTTTAAAAATATGACACGTTTTGAAGAGTGTCGGACACGTGTCCTAAAAGAGTGTCGGTGTCCAACACGGATACATCATCTTCTTAGAAGTGTCTGTGCTTCTTAGGTGAGAATTATTTGTTTTTTTTCCCACCCCCTTCTAAAGTGCAGAAAACAAGATTGATCACAAAATCTAATTGTCTTCTTGTGATTGTAGTTGATTATTCTCTAGATGCCAATACTTTCTTGTTTTAACTAATTGGCAGGTTCGGGTGATGGTAGTGTTTTTGCCTGGAATGCTCGAAGTGGCAAAGAAGTATGTCCGTTTTCTCTTTGGTTTCTTGTTCTCTATTTTAGCACTTCATAAGATATAATATGTGTAGTGCGAAAGGCACTGTGGTTTCAAAGTCCAGATCCTCTAGAGTGATTTGTTGGGAAGTGATCTTAGAGTTATTTTTTGAATGGCTGAGATTTAATGCTATAAAAGTTGAGGGTACAATAGTACTAAGTTGAGGATACAATAGTATTGATAATCATTTTAAAAAAAATCTTGTTAAAACCATAGAAAAAATCACTCTAGAGGATCTGGATTCTTGGTTTCATGGCTGTCATCGTATTCTATTACAACCTTTTGCCCAACAATATTCAAACAAACATCCTATGTAGAACACATAGTTTGACACAATGACAAGAGTAATAAAAATAAATAGGATAAAATGCAATTTACTTTAGGGTTTAAAAATTTGAATATTGAAGATAGTTGTATTCTTATTTGCAGACACATTTTGATCATTGGCTCTCTCTCTCTCTCTCTCTCTCAATGCTGATTTTGTCCGCTGAATTTGCTAATTACAGGATGCTTTCCATGTTATCCTATCCTGCTGTTTCCTTCATAGTTTGCATGATCTGTTTGGTCAATGGGAAGACAAAAACCACAGGACAATTGGAATATTGCCATAGCTTTCCACCCCCATAGGGTCCATAAATTTTCAAAAAAATAAATATAATAATCTCGGTTGCCTCGGCAATCAAATAATTTTTCTTACCTTAGAAAATTAATCTTTAAACTTATACCTGATGACACCATCTTGTTGAGTGAGTCTTTATTTCTCTTATGATTTGTGTATCATTGGTGTGCTTTTGTGCGTATCTGTGGTTTTTGTTGTGATTTTGTCTGGCTTGGATGGTCACATTCATTGTTGCCTTGTCCAGGTTGCCAGTTGGATGAGTACTGAAACTGAACCTCCTGTGATAAAATGGGCTCCAGGAAGCCTAATGTTTGTCACTGGTTCTTCTGAATTATCATTTTGGATTCCAGACTTGTCTAAATTGGGAGCTTACGTCGGAAGAAAATAGAAATGCATTTGCGATGCAATCATAATTTTTTATTCTGAGGCATTTGAAGGTTTGTTGACTTTCCTCACCAATTATTTATGAAGTGCTAACTGATTGTGAGTTTCGTGTTCATTCTGCTCCATTTGATGTATGCTGTATAGTTATCTTTGCAGGGGACAGTTGAAGAACAGATGGAAGAACATGCACCCCCTTCTGTACCATAGATTGTACTTTCTGAAGGTGATCTGTGGTTCAGGTACCAATATGTAATTTTATATAGCTTAAGATATCCATGAGATAGTTTGTTGTTGTACAGTTTAATATTATGAAGAGTTATATCAATCAGAGCAATTTTCTTCATTCTATCAACCACACTTGATTGTAGTTTTCTTATGATTAGTTTTTAATTTGTAAAATTAACCTAATTGAAGAGTTCTAACCAGCATTTTCTATCTGGTGTAGTTATGTTAAAGTTTAGTGATCCAGTGTATAGTCACGACGCATGTTGCTTTATCACTTGAGGTTTCACAATATTGGGGAAAATAAAAAAGAGAAATAAACTCATTTATTCTACTCCATCAATGAGCGGCTAACCTTAGCACGTAAGGATTGCAAGATTGCAAGGTTTAGGTTCTTCATATAATGAAAAACTAGCTGATCCTTATTATTTTGGTCAATTGTAAATTTATTTTGATTATTTTAAATTGCTCCTATAGGCCCAAAACTTTTCCTGATTATCAATGTCACTTATGTAGCTGTTGGTCAATGATTTGTTGAGCATGCAAGTGTAGTCAAAAGCATTGGCTTCTGTTTACCCATTTCGATTTTTTTTGTGTCCCACCAAAAATACCTAAATATTATAGTAACATATTGATTGGTCCTCAATCTGTTTCTGTGGACTTGTTTCTCTTCAGTTTTTCATATGGACATGTTTGTTCAAGCAACAATGATTCATCCCACTAAAAACATCACCACTAATAGCACTAATGCATTAAAAAAGTAAAAAAAAAAAAAAAAATACAACTCCAAAATCAAAACATCACATCATTAAAGGCGGGACCTACTGTCACCTAATTAGTGGGAGCACTAATTAGTGCTCCCAAGCATTTTTCTTGTTCAAGGGCCACACGGCATATTTTGTGCGTGTTTGGCATGACATTCCAAACGGGCTTTTGGGCTGAAAAGTCCTTTTACGTGAGATTGTTGCGGTACAAGTAACTGACTGAGCTTGTTCATCTTCTAGGCCCATGTGGGTATATTATTTATAAGAAGTCATATTGATTTGATAATCTGAGTTGAAAATTTTCATCATATTTGTTTTGTCATTTTTTTTTTTTTTAAGAAATTTAATTACTACAATTATTAAAGCAATATTATTTTTTAATGAGTAGAGCTCATCGTCAAAATAAAGATATATGGACGGTCCAATCCCAAAATAGACTAGAGAAGCCTAGTCGTGCTTCTATTAAGTTGAATTTGTCTTTTCAGGTACTGTGCAATAGTTTTTGACCGAACTGTTAGGTGAATTAATTGATCAAAGCTTGGACATACCTTAAATCTTGAGTAAAGATTTATGAATTGAAAGGGATAAAATAAGTGAAATATAAATAAAATATAATTATATTTTACTCTTTTTTTTACTTTCTAAATTTTTATTCAAATTGATGATCTAAACATAACTTAAAATTCGTTTCACTACTTTCATTTATATTCGAAGCAAGTAGACATTTGTGTGCCTTGTAATATCTCGAAGCTATCTAGCTGTGCTTAAAAAAAATGTCAGGCCTTTCCACACTGAAAATCCAGAGAAAAGAAATGGACTCATTTGAGAGAGAGAGAGAGAGAGAGATAGAGAGAGAGATTGAAGTATTAAAGATGGAGATGAAAATGGAAATAGAAACCAACTTGATGGAGGAAGTTTGAGAATAAATTACACGGAAAAGGATAAAAAGCGTGAAACATGTAATGGGTCTCTCTGTCTCTATGTTACCAGTAAGGGACATTACGTACTTGAATCCTCAAAAAGCTTTAAAGATCCCCCTACTAACAAATCTCTCTCATAGAGAGAGAGAGAGAGAGAACGCGACTGAATGGCCTAAATGACATTAAGGTCATAAGGTGCCGTAAAGTACGAAAAACTTGTCAAAACCAAATAAAGCAATGCATCCATTGGAAATCTTGTTGATTAGGACCTTTTTCCACATTACCAACATGTTCACACTTGCTCCTATTGGCTTGTGGACACTCAATAAAATAATATTTTAAAATATTATATATATTATGTAATAAATTTTTGCAAATTACGTACACCCTTTCAGATTTAAATACAACCACACTTGATTGTAGTTTTCTTATGATTAGTTTTTAATTTGTAAAATTAACCTAATTGAAGAGTTCTAACCAGCATTTTCTATCTGGTGTAGTTATGTTAAAGTTTAGTGATCCAGTGTATAGTCAGGACGCATGTTGCTTTATCACTTGAGGTTTCACAATATTGGGGAAAATAAAAAAGAGAAATAAACTCATTTATTCTACTCCATCAATGAGCGGCTAACCTTAGCACGTAAGGATTGCAAGATTGCAAGGTTTAGGTTCTTCATATAATGAAAAACTAGCTGATCCTTATTATTTTGGTCAATTGTAAATTTATTTTGATTATTTTAAATTTTTTATTTTTTTATTTCTTAACCAAATTAACTTTTAATTTATTTAAAAATAAATTTAAAATAAATTTCCAAAAATCAAACCAAATATATCCTAACCATTTCTTGTGTTGGTAACTTATTTAATTATTTGTTAATTTTATGATATTTTCACCATCTGTCACTATAATATATAAGAATTTTAAAGACCAATTTTTTTTTATCTCTAAAAGTGAAAATTTGTTGCAAAAGATATTTAGAGACTAATTTCTATCGTTATAAAAATAGTCGTTAAAAGATCGCCATGAAAAGTGAAAAATAAAACTTTTAACAATTAAATTTTAAAAATATCGCTAATAAATAGGCTTTTAGGAATAATACAATTTAATTTCAAAATAGTTTATTTTTTGACATAAAAAAATTAATATCAAAAAGATAATAATTAATCACTAATATCTAATTTTCATTACTAAAAATATAATAATGACATTTTTCACAATAAAAATATTTGATCCTTTAAAAATAATTATCTTAAAATTTTAATATCTAAAACCTTAATTTCAATTTGATTGAACGTGCGTGTGCCCATCATTCCCCCATTGGAAAAAATGGCAAAAGGAGCACACAAATGTTTCTTGTTTTTTTCCGAGGATGTGATTAAAGTGATATTACTTAATGACTTTTACTCAAGTGACTATTGAATTATATTATCATTACTCCCTAACATCGCCACAATCATTATTACTGGACGACATTTTCACAGCTTTGCTACTTTCATGGTTGTTCTTAAAGATTTATTTTAACATAAAAAATAAAATAAATAAAATAGAAATCAATTTTTTACAATAAATAAATAACTAGAATCACCACGCCCAAAATACACCGGACTGTCAAAAATAATCTCCAGTGGTCATATCAATTCTAATCCCAACAGTGAAGGCGAATTCTCGGAATTTGAAATAACACCAAATTCTAAAATTCTTTTTCTCTCTCTCCAGATTAGTTCTATTTGTCCCAACTAAGACAATTATATTCCGAACATAACACATTTCAAGGCTACCAAACACGGAATAAGGAGGAAACAGCACTGCCTCAATCTCGGCTAGATTGGATTGGGCTTTAGACGCAAGTAGGGCATTGGGAAGCCCAGCCCATTTGATTGACAAGATTGATTTGTGATATTTACGATGTGAGACAGTAACTGAGTGAGAGTAGAGAGATAAGGGAAAAGTTAGTGGCTGACGGGACAGTGTCAAGTGATGTTTCATACTCGTATGTATTATGAATGGTGAAGAAGAGAGATTTATAATTTTATGTTGAGTGATTCAGAAATATATAAAAAGGAATTATAATTAGTTTAAGTATGATCATGTATATTGTGTTTGGTTAAAAAAATTTTTAAAAAATTATGTAAAATTAAAGGGTTGTTTGGGATGATCTAAATTAGTGTATTTTTTGCCTTTTTATGAAAAGATATATAAAAAAATAAGGAGATGATGTGATGAAAAAATGATAAAAAAATAAAAAATGTGTACTTATTTAGGATAACCAAACTTAACATAAATAAAAAATATATTCACATTTTATTTAATTATACATAATTTTTTTTTTAAATATTTTTTAAATTTGATTTAAATAAAAAAAATATATTCACATTTTATTTAATTATACATATTTTTTAAAAAATTTTTTTTTAACCAATCACAGCGATAATGTGACAGAACCAACTAATGATTTTTCAAAGAGAAAGAAGGTTCAAACTTCAAAATGTATACTCTATTCTGCCTCTCTTTGAATTTAACGGCCGGCATTGTACTCTCAATTCTCTCTTTTTCTCACTTTCATCATTCTTTTGTGAAATGATATTACACGTATCTGAATTTTTTTATTTATTTTAAATATAATAATAAAATTAATATAATTATATTATTTTTGTAATAAAATTAAAAAGGTTGAAATTAATGTAAAGGGTGTAAATATATAGAATTGAGTGGAAAAAAAAATTTATATAATCGCTCTCATTTTATAGAACTTAAGATTTTATTTGGTTTGGTATTTTAATATAAAAATATATATACTTTATGCATATATTCATTCTATTTATACACAAATACTAAGGTTATTCATCACCTATTGAATGGTGATTAACATTTTTTTCTTTTAGGATGGCTAGAATGGAATGCAATGGTGTTTTGCTCGAAAAGTTTCGATGGTATTAGAAATTGGGCGTTCATGTGGCATGATCATTTTCTGAACCTTTTGAACCTTATCCCAATAAGTTTGAATTTGAATTCAAAACCTATTTGGATAACCACTCAGGATATCTATATCTATCATATCAACTGATATGGATAGATGAGATAGATATCTTATGTATCTAATATAACTGATATGGATAGTTTTATTATTATCCTATATATCTGATATAATATGGGATATGGGTGATTAAGAGAATAATAACGTATGTCGTATGTTTTACCCATATACTGACTCTCTCCCAAAAATACAACGATCAAGAGCCATTTTGCACTGTGACTTGTGTTGGTGATATTCATTCTGTAATATCACTCCATTGCTGGGTTGATTGATCAGATTCAGGAAACACGTGATTTACCCACGAGATCTTTCAATTCAGACTCTGCAGAAAAATGTATGATTCTGATATTTTAACCACTGCGTTATAATGCTTTACTATTTACATTGGTATCAGAGCATGAATGGGTATTTTTGTGTTTTCTCTAATCATGTATATATTTTTTATATATATATGTACATATTATATACATAAATGTTTATAAAGGAGGAAAATTTCAACTCCCATTAGATTGAGAGTGTGGTACACCTCATTTTTTTTTTTTTTCAAACTCGAGCTTGAACTCGGCTCGTTTATATAATCAAGCGAGCTCAAGTTCAATAAATATTTGATAAGTTGAGCTCAAACTCGATTTTTAAAGCTTGACTAGAGCTCGGCTTGAGTTCAAGCTCGACTAATTTTTAGTAAACAAGCTTGAATATACAAAACTCGACTCGTTTGCCGCCCTAATTTCTATCACACGTTAGGTGGTGGTTAGCATTTCTCTGTCATTGTTTAAAGAAAAATGAGTTGGACCCCCTCAAGGAGGCACCCGCTTTGACTCTCTCTCTTTTTGATTGGCCAGTTTTTCTTTTTTCTTTTTCTTTTTTTCCTTCTCCTCCAATCACCACCCGCCACGTGTGTGTGGAGGTGGTGGGGGCGGTGATTGG